TCCCTTAATTTCTGCTACAAACAACATAAGTAGTAATTCTTCTTCCTCTTCCTCTTCTACAAAATCTAATAACACCATAATCAATGAGAAAACAAATGCCTCAACTTCTATGGATCAAGAATCTCTTTGTCAATCCCAATCCCCTGAACGTTCCGAGTTTCCTGCTAATCAGTCTGATTATCCTGATTCTGATAGTTCTGATGGTGAAGCTGCCATTGATGAAAATGTTGATGCTGAAAATGTCGATGCTGAAACTGGCGACCATTCTGGTGTTAATGTAGATGAATGGTTATCTTTAGGAAGTTCTTTAATGGATTCGTTAATGGGTTGGTTGGAAGTTCCCCCAATTGATGCAAATAATTCGCTTCCAAAACAACATAATGTTTCTGCACATACTTCAAACAATAAAAATCAGACAATATTAGATATTCCATTACAATTCATAGATTTACTAACTTATCCTGAGATTGATTCAAAAGCTTCAAAAAAAGCTTCTTTTGCAGGTTTGTTTCCTCTTCTCTTCTTGTGATTTATCATTGTGATTATTATTTACCTTTATTATTTATTATTTTATTTTATTTATTAGTGTTACGTGAAATTGCGTTTGTCAAACAGCGCCGTAAAGTTCTACTACTATTTACCATTTATTTATTTATAATAAGATTTTGCTCTTTTGATCTATTTCTTGTTTTATTATTTGCAAGTAATTGTGCTATGTTGTTTTTAATGAAAAATTCGGGTAAAGTTAATGTGACTATGGCTAAAAGGTTAGTATCTTTATTACAATATATTATACTATTTATTTTATTATACCATTTATTGCTATATATAAAACCTTATTAATATTTTATTAATAAATGTTCTTATAGAGCTGTCAGGCAAAGAATCGGCTGGGCGAAACAATGGGCTGGCTCGCTTTTTCGTAACAGAACGAACGTTACGAATAATAATAATAGTAATAATAATGCTATAAATAGAAAGAATACTTCTGCTGTTGCAAAAAATATTCCTGAAACTTCTGTAACCCGAATGTCAAAACGTTCTTCACAAGATGCTACTGCTCTACAAAGTGGTAGTTTAAGTGACACTACCCATTGTGGTTCCGCGGTCGCAAAAACTACCTCAAAAAGAGGTGTCTTTTTCCGTAAAAGTACCCCCTCTTCTCATGCAAAAGATGGGTATCCTCATGCAAAAGATGGGTGTTCTCATGCAAAAGATGGGTATCCTCATTCAAAAGATGGGTATCCTCAAACAAAAGATGGGTATCCTCAAACAAAAGATGCATATCCTAACACAAAAGATGGGTATTCTCACACAAAAGATGCATATTCTCACACAAAAGATGCGTATCCTCACACAAAAGATGGGTATTCCCATACAAAAGATGGGTATTCTCACACAAAAGATGCGTATTCTCACACAAAAGATGGGTATTCTCATACAAAAGATGGGTATTCTCATACAAAAGATGGGTATTCTCTCACAAAAGATGGGTATTCTCTCACAAAAGATGGGTATTCTCACACAAAAGATGGATGCTCGGAACGTTTGACTGGTAACATAAATCAAGCTGAATCTATTTCATTAAATGGGTTGCAATTCGATTCTACAAAATCTTCTTTTTCATCTTCAACAAATTCATATTCTCCAATCATATCCACTAGCAACGCAGCAGTGCAGACTTCCATAAGTAATCATGCCATAAAAGTCATCCAGCCAATAAGCTAGCATTATTTTTCTTTTATTTTCATCAACACCCAATGTATTTTGATCAATTGAATAATGTAATTTTTTTTTTTCTAGAAATGATTTAATTTAAAAATTATTATTAATTGGGAGAAATTTATTTCTTTAAATAATCAGGATTTCTTTAAATTTGTACAGAATAGATGATTTTTATACAATTCATCTTTTTTTTTTTTTTTTTTGTATACATTAATATTTTGAACCGAATGATATCAAAATTTTTTTTAAACACTCAAGAACTCAAAAATTAAAAATGTAAAAAAAAAATGCAAATAAATGCTCTACGATTTGCTTGTTATTTTGAAATATTTTTACATGGATTTTGTAGTGGTAGTGTTCAAATCGATTAGTTGGCAATTAATATTCACAAGTTTTAAATAAATTAATAGTTACAAGTTTCAAAAATTTGGCATTAAAAATTATCACAAATTGTTTATTGTACGTACCCACATTTAATGAATTTTCGATTTCACTACAGTATATAATCAGATTATATATTTGGATACAAAATTTTTCTTTCAATTAGTTAACTATCAACAAATACGTACGCACATATAGTTACGTAGATTATTAATTATATACATATTGATATATATCAGTGTTGTCAATTTTTTGTTCGATAAAATTATATTCTATTCTAAATTCTATTGTTCTATTCTATTGTTTACGTATTTGTTTTTTTGCTATATTAATATTAAGAAAATTTATTAGTTTACACGTAGTGTTTATACACGGGTATAATTTATTGAATTACAAATTCGTGTACATGCCAATCAAACAAATTTTTATAAACGAAAAATTAAACCCTCGCTTATGGTTAGGG